GACGGGGTGGCTGAGCTGAGTGTCAAAGAAAAATGGTGTTAGGGAGTTCGTCAGACTGTGTTCATAGAGGTGTTAAATGTAGCTAAAGATTAGTAAGTATAGCAACAAACACAGCTTCTGTCACAGGGTCGACCGACTCGACCAGCTTTCTACCAACTAAAACATAAACAAACACAACTTGTCACATGGTCGACCAGCCTCCTACCACCTAAACAAACACAGCTGTCACAGGGTCGACCAGCTTACCTACCAGCTAAACATAAACAAACACATCTTCTGTCACAGGGTCGACCAGCGTCCTACCAGCTAAACATAAACAAACACAGCTTCTGTCACATCGCCACCAATAAAACACAACTTAAAACTCAGCCAAGGATACGTATAGAAATAACTTTGATTGGACAAAGTCGTCTGCTGGCTTACGTCATTGAGTAATCGGCTTTTACAATCTAAATAACTAACAAGTCGTCTTAACCTAGAGGATTATTTATCATGTTGTATTTGTCACTTAACGAACACTGTTAAATATTATGGGTAATAAAGAATTCACGGAATGCAGCAGTTTGGCGAAAACGAAAAATGGCAACAATTGCCTCACATTTGATTAACTGCAGCATTGTGGTCTAAAAAGAAAATGGCAACATTTGCCTTACATGTGATTGACGGTACCAGTGGGGCGAAAACGAAAAATGGCAACAATTGCCTTACATGTGATTAACGGCAGCAGTTTGGCGAAAATAGAAAATGGCAACAATTCCCTTACATGTGATTAATGGCAGCAGAGGGACGAAAACGAAAAATGGCAACAATTTCCATATATGTGACTAACGGCACCAGTGTGGTGAAAACGAAAAATGGCAACAAAAGCCTTACATGTGATTAATGGCAGCAGTAGGGGGAAAACGAACAATAGCAACAATTGCCTTACATGTGATTATCGGCGGCAGTATGGCGAAAACGAAAAATGGCAACAATTGAGTTACATGTGATTAACAGCATCAGAGGGTCGTAAACGAAAAACGGCAAAATTTGCTTTACATGTGATTAACAGCAGCAGTGGAGCGAAAACGAAAAATGGCAACAGTTGCCTTACATTTGATTAACGGCAGCAGTCGGGCGAAAACGAAAAATGGCAACAATTGCCTTACATGTGATTAACGGCAGCAGTAGGGGGAAAACGAACAATGGCAACAATTGCCTTATGTGTGATTGACGGCAGCATTAGAGCAAAAACGAAAAATAGCAACAATTGCCTTACATGTGATTATCGGCGGCAGTATGGCGAAAACGAAAAATGGCAACAATTGAGGTACATGTGATTAACGGCATCAGAGGGTCGTAAACGAAAAATGGCAACAATTGCCTTACATGTGATTAACAGCATAAGTGGGGCGAAAACGAAAAATGGCAACAATTGCCTTACCTGTAATTAACGGCAGCAGTATGGCGAAAACGAAAAATGGCAACAATTGCCTTATATGTGATTGACGGCAGCATTAGAGCAAAAACGAAAAATAGCAACAATTGCCTTACATGTGATTATCGGCAGCAGTATGGCGAAAACAGAAAATGGCAACAATTCCCCTTACATGTGATTAACAGCAGCAGAGTGGCAAAAAGAAAAAGGGGCAACAATTGCCTTACATGTGATTAACGGTAGCAGTGTGGCAAAAACGAAAAATGGCAACAATTGCCTTCCATGTGAATAACGGTAGCAGTGGGTGGAAAACAAAAAATGGCAAAGATTGCCTTACATGTGATTAACGGCACCAGTTTGGCGAAAACGAAAAATGGCAACAATTCCCCTACATGTGATTAATGGCAGCAGAGGGACGAAAACGAAAAATGGCAACAATTGCTTTACATGTGATTAACGGCAACAGTGTGGTGAAAACGAAAAATGGTAACAAATGCCTTACATGTGATTAATGGCAGCAGTATGGCGAAAACGAAAAATGGCAACAATTGCCTTACATGTGAATAACGGTTGAAGTGTGCCGAAAACGAAAAATGGCAACAGTTGCCTTACATGTGATTAACGGCAGCAGTGTGGCGAAAACGAAAAATGGCAACAATTGCCTTACATGTGATGAACGGCAGCAATAGGGGGAAAACGAACAATGGCAACAATTGCCTTATATGTTATTGACGGCAGCATTAGAGCAAAAACGAAAAATAGCAACAATTGCCTTACATGTGATTATCGGCGGCAGTATGGCGAAAACGAAAAATGGCAACACTTGTCTAACATGTGATTAACGGTAGCAGTGTGGCAAAAACGAAAAATGGCAATAATTGCTTTACACGTGATTAACGGCAGCAGTGGGGGCGAAAACGAAAAATGGCAACAATTGCCTCACATGTGATTAACGGCAGCAGTGGGGGCGAAAACGAAAAGTGGCAACAGTTGCCTTACATGTGATTAACGGCAGCAGTTTGGCGAAAACAGAAAATGACAACAATTCCCTTACCTGTGATTAACGGCACCAGTGTGGTGAAAACTTATAATGGCAACAATTGCCTTACATGTGAATAACGGCAGCACTTTGGCGAAAACAGAAAATGGCAGCTATTCCCTTACATGTGATTAACGGCAGCAGTTTGGCGAAAACAGAAAATGGCAACAATTCCCTTACCTGTGATTAACGGCACCAGTGGGGCAAAAACGAAAAATGGCAACAATTGCCTTACATGTGATTAACGGCAGCAGTTTGGCGAAAACAGAAAATGGCAACAATTGCCTTACATGTGATTAACGGCAGCAGTGGGGCGAAAACGAAAAATGGCAACAATTGCCTTACATGTGATTAACGGCACCAGTGGGGCAAAAACGAAAAATGGCAACAATTGCCTTACATGTGATTAACGGCAGCAGTTTGGCGAAAACAGAAAATGGCAACAATTCCCTTACATGTGATTAACGGCAGCAGTGTGGCGAAAACGAAAAATGGCAACAATTGCCTAACATGTGATTAACGGCAGCAGTGTGGCGAAAACGAAAAATGGCAACAATTGCCTTATATGTGATTGACGGCAGCATTAGAGCAAAAACGAAAAATAGCAACAATTGCCTTACATGTGATTATCGGCGGCAGTATTGCGAAAACGAAAAATGGCAACACTTGTCTTACATGCGATTAACAGCAGCAGCGTGGCAAAAAGAGAAATGGCAACACTTGCCTTACATGTGAATAACGGCACCAGTGGGGCGAAAACGAAAAATGGCAACAATTGCCTAACATGAGATTAACGGCACCAGTTTGGCGAAAACGAAAAATGGCAACAATTGCCTAACATGTGATTAACGGCAGCAGTGTGGCGAAAACGAAAAATGGCAACACTTGCCTTACATGTGATTAACGACAGCAGTGTGGCGAAAACGAAAAATGGCATGTTTATAGTTCAATTACTTTTAAAACTGCTGAATTGAGAAACATTGGAAATTGAAAACGTATCATCTAAAAACGTTTACCGTATAATATACAGGTTTAAAATTATCTCATAATGAAAAAAAAAATGTTTTCATGTCGGTCTAAATCATGAAGCATGATCCAATACAAACTCTGTCTTTTGTGAATAAAGTTTGTTCTTAAATTAGAAAAGTGTTTCTGAGGCAGCGAGCTTAAGATTTTGGCTAGTTCATTATTTAAGCCACGAAAGTCAAAACCACCATCAAATGTTTCTCGACATCAAATCTAGCCATGACGAGATCTTGGGGTAAATTACATGAAACAAATTCTATGACAAAAATAGTTGAATTGTCTAACGTGTATTCATTAAGCGTAAATTGAGAAATTATTGGTACCTGAAATTTTGCTAAACTATAACTAAAAACTCCAATGAGTCGAAAGGAATTATCCGCTTAATGTATTTGCTCAAGCCATACAGGACTCCAGTCTTAGAAAGATAAATGTAAATATTATTAAAAGGTAGATCCACTTATTTTTTCACTCAACGTAGCAGCGTATTGAGGTTGGCTTCTTATTCAAGTATATACTGTATGCAGTGATTTGTTTTAAAAGGTTTTAGTGTGGTCAATAAGGATATAATTTATTATTATTCTCTCTCTCTCTCTCTCTCTCTCTCTCTCTCTCTCTCTCTCTCTCTCTCTCTCTCTCTCTCTCTCCATATGATTCAGGTATTAGCTCATAAAGTGACCAGTGACCTTTGACCTTCAATAAAGACTACAGGACAGCTCAGGTGCCTCAACGTCAATTCTTTTACAGATACTAAGAGCATGTCAGTCAGCACCAAATATATGGTAAGGGTAAACGGATAGACAGTCAGACAGAACACAAAGAGACCGACTTCCTCAAGCTTCCTATCTCCATGGTGGGGATAAAGTGTGCGGGGAGTATAGCCGGGGCTGGGTGTGGGATGGTTAGGCTAGGTACATCCTGGAAGAGGCTTGAAAGGTTATGGATTGAGATAAATAATTAAGGGTGGAACTACTCAAGTTATGGGCGGGGCTAGATAAGCTATGGGCGGGGCTGGATAAGTTGTGGGCGGGGTTGGATAAGTTATGGGCGGGGCTAGATAAGTTATGGGCGGGGCTAGCTAAGTTATGGGCGGGGCTAGATGAGTTATGGACGGGGATAGCTAAGTTATGGGCAGATTTAATAAGTTATGAGTGAATCTAGATAAATTAAGGGTGGGGCTAAATAAACAGTGTGTGTGGAGCTAGATCAATTATGGGTGGAGCGAGATAAATTATGGGTGGAGCTAGATAAATTATGGGTGGAGCGAGGTAAATTATGGGTGGAGCGAGGTAAATTGTGGGCAACGCTGGAGAAAGCTATGGACGATCTATAAATGATAATGGAAGTAGATATATTGTTGGCGAAGCTACAAAAGTTTCGGGGAATACTAAAAAAAATTGTGGGAGGAGCTAAAAAGAAATAAAAATATGGGTGGAGCTCGTGGCGGTGGCTCCTCCCCTTGCTTCGACCACTAAAAGAACATCTACAACTTGTCGGAACCAGTTACCAGTGACCGCTCGAGGCTCCTCAGAGGTGGGTGTTTACTGCTTTGTCCGCCTGACGTCCGTTGCCTGACCTTACGTTGAGTGGAGCACAACACTACCGCTCATCCACACACACACACAGGTAGAGGACCTCGTGTTGTCGTGAGTCAACCCAGGACCATCGTGAGTGTTATTCTCGGCAAAGTCAGGAAAGCGGCCACAACACCAATAAAGGTTAGTCAGGTTTATACCTTTGTGTTTCGTACATTGACATTCAAGTTTACTATACATATACAATGTGTGTGTTTGTGTGTGTGTGTGTGTCATTCATAGTGCTGTGGTCAGATACATGGCTTCAGAAGAAACAAAATATGCATTCAGCAAAAAAAAATAAGTTTTATCGTTTTTTCCCTTCACTTTCCTGAGAAGTGACGAGAGGGTTTCTGACCATGAGTTAAGAAGTTAAGAGTGCGCCAAATATTAGACGTTACAATATGGCATTTCTTGAGATGAGACTGTGCCTTTGTTGAAGTGCTCACTATATAGAGTAATTTTGTACATTTTATACCAAGTACAACACATCAGACGTAAAACATTGAGAGCGGCGGCTTAAGCTGCCAAGGTGGGGAGCATCGTCACACTACCGAAGGATGATGTAAGAGCGGGGATCAACAGCCCATGTCGAGAGTTGGACTTTTTCAAAGCCATTAAACTTTTTGCTGTAACGCGCATGTCTTATTTTGTCGTTAAAGGTCAACAGCTCACCACAAAACTCATGTTTAACACGACGTAGAAACGACAATTACACTAAAGCCCGGTACACGCAATCGATTTTTTATCACACTTGTCTGCAAACAAACCTGAACTGTGTTTTTCTCCACACTACGATTATGTCTGCTCTAACAGTTCGCTCTCAGATTTCAGAAGAGCATGTTTACCGCAGAAGAATAGCTGCTATTTATTCGTGCTCTGGCATATGCAATGTGAAAAAAGTCAACGAAACTAAAATGAAAAGAAATGCAATGTGAAAAAAGTCAACGAAACTAAAATGAAAAGAAAGTTGTCTAAACAGCTATTGCAGAGACCATATTTATCATAAAAATTTATTAGCAAAATTACAACTCGAGCCTTACGGTTAATATTACTAACCACGATCTTGGAATGGACGAAGAAAGATGTCGCCTTCTCTTATCACCAGTTATCCCATCGACTGAGCAGAAAGACACTAGCATGAATGATGATGGCCCACTAAATCTAATACGAACTCGTTGTAAAAGTGCTCAAATCACTCATTGTCACTATACCAGTACAGCTGATAACAACAATGGGCAGGAACTAGCGGCTACCTACCAGTGTCCCAGTGTTCATTATAAGCTATAATAATATACCTAATCTAGCTATTTTCGATAACCCCCTGTGTGTCATTATACTTGTATTTCTTAATACCAGTACAGTATAAATGAATAATGTAGATGCATAACAATGAAGACTAAAGGCAGAAAATGGCAGGTTAAATAAGTCTGAAGTTTTTAAATGAATTATAAGTTCTATTTCTTACCGCACTTTTAATTTTCGGAATAAATCTTTCAATTTGTGGTAGACCTCAAGTACCTTCGCGCATTGTCACAAGAGGTTGAGTCTGCTGTTGTTACTACTATTGCTAAAGGCAGTGAACTAACCTAAACTCTATCCGTTTTACCTAATCTTTTCGGGCAGCGCTAGATTTTGCACAAACCACCACTATACACGTTCAGTTTTTTTTGCCCAAAGTTGATTGATCAGAAAAGTATAAGTAATAATTTGAGCGTGTTTGCATATATTACTGACATTCTTATTATATTAAACTGAGTATTGTAAAAATGCTCTTCAGATCACTGTTTCTGAGGTTCTACAAATCAGGTGCACCCTGACAGTGAGCTCATTTTCTTGTTATTATACAAGAAGGAAGCCCAATCGTCGTCTCTGGGGAAAAATTAAACCCAAACGAGGTGAACACTCTACCAATGATGTGTTATGGGGGCGGGGTGCTGGGTAGGGGGCGGGGTGCTGGGTAAGGGGCGGGGTTTTGGGTAAGGGCCGGGGTGCTGAGTAAGGGGGTGGGGTGCTGAGTAAGGGACGGGGTGCTGGGTAAGGGGCGGGGAGGGATAAGGTAAATATAGTTACTCATTGAAAAAAAAACGTAAATAATGTCATTAAATCTATTTCGGGGAGACGCCTGTGTTAGCCGAATCCTGCTTCGTGTCTCTTTGTCTTGTTTACAGACCACGTTCACACTTTTATTATCATTGCGCTTCAACAACTAAAGTCTTCAAAGGTTAGAAATTACTTTAGCCTACCAACCAATTAAAACTTCAAAACTCCTTATTTACAATCGAGATTCTTAATTTAGTATAATTTCGAAATCAACTCACGGTACCCTGGTGTAGTACCATCCATACCCATGTTCCATTTCTGTATTTCCAACATATTTACTCTTATATTCTCAGATTGTATTTGCTCTTAATCTTTTTCTCTATTTAGGTCTAGTTATCACAGCTCATATTTCATCCTCCTGTTGATCACTGAGCGCTGGCCGGTCTGAAGGTCCCAGCAGGTCAGTTATAAATTTCTCTATATGATGGTCAAGGGCGGGATGGACAGCTTATTTCTTGGTCAATGTCTCTTTTTCTGTCAAGATAATTCAGTGTCTTATTTTACTAAAGATAATGGTTATGTCTGTACATGGGTATTGGTATATCTCCGTACTCAACAGGAAGAAGAACTACTCAGGCTAGGACTCAAATTTAGCACTAATGCCAAAGAGAGTGTGTGTGTGTGTGTGTGTGTGTGTGTGTGTGTCCGTCACCTTAATTCTAAATTCGTTGGCGCAAATGATAGGTTCCCTGGGGATGTTGTCACTCTTATTATTGTTATTACTTGCCTGAGTACCTTCAGTGTAACCCTCTTGCTGTACGACAGTTTGGGACGGCTGGTAGTGTTCCTCACCACGTTCATTCCTGAAGCCCAACTTTATATTGAATTGAATTGAAACAGTTTATTTAGCCAGAAAAACACAGATACAGTGTGGATAATAATAACAATATTAACATGGCTGAACCAGTTGAGAACCTGGGCTCTCTTTTAGGCACCATACGTCAGGTTTTCCCCAGACATGTCCTCCTTTTCGGCTCATAAATCTCCATCCGGCCGTGTTTTTTACATACCAAAAAATGGTCGGGATTTTACCACGCTCATTATGTTTACATAATTACCCGCAAACGATAGTGTCCCCTAAAAGAGTATTTTACATAAGGGCTAATTTGTTAAACCTACCCTTTTTATACCCGACAAATTTTACAGTGCAGTGAGTTCGCTAACCTAGGACAAGTATTTAAAGACCTTAGTTGTTAAAGGGCAGTAATATAATATCAACCCGAAAGGTGATCAGTAAAGGCGGGCGTATAATATGCTCTTTTAGCACTCACTGAGCGAAACTAGTCGTTAATATTTTAAAAGAATCGTTCAGTGATAGTTTTCGGCAACTGAGTAACATAATGTGGACATAATAGACCAGGACTCAAGCACACCTCGGCGATAATGGTCACAAATGTCCTTATTTAATTAACCATTGACCTTTATTTTCAAACTTAAGACAGTTTACTCTTTCATACGGTAGTGTAAATACCATCAGCAATGCCAGTACCATGCTACCCTCCATGTATCCCTGGAAATATATCACGTACCTCAGGGGGCATCACGCACCCTGTTTGACAATCACTGAATCAAGATAATGCCGGGAGCATAAATTATAAATATTACTACCAACATTATTATTATTATTATTATTATTATTATTATTATTATTATTTTATTATTATTATTGGTGGTGGTGGCGATAGTAGTGTGTGTGTGTGTCGAAGCTCTCGTAGTTAAAACCAACCTAAGAGGTATTCCGAATCCAAAACTAGACCACAGAATCTTAACCCTGCAGTATCAGCTCTGTACATGACTGTCTTTGACTGACTCTCTCACTTAATGATGGATAAAATTGAATTTCTTGACTAACTAAGCATTGTGAAAGTGATTCATCCGTGTGTTCTTTTCTCCACGAGTTTAAAATATTAAAAAGGTTATCTGCGTCATACCTGTTGATAATTGTCGCGTTATTTTACCTGAATAAAATATATAAAAAATAGTGTAAATGTAATTACTGTTCATTATGTATTTGCTAACACCTATTTACTCAGATGATACACTTATATTATTGATAATTTTCTTGAGTAAATGTCCGGTAATTGTCAGAGGGTTGCAACACCCGAAAGGCTCAGCCATGTTAATATTGTTGTGATTATCGTTTACTTTGTGTCTGGCAGAATAAACGTAGCCTGCCTAAAATTACTAACTTGACTGGGTAACCGCACTCAGTAAGGTCATCCTAATGCGGTCAAAAACATAATCACAATCACAGATCAAGGTAAAAACAAACTATACAACCTCTTATGGTCGCTACATGGAATGTCAGGACCCTTCTGGATACTGCACAAATGAGCATCCTGAAAGAAGAACTGCAGTTGTAGCAAAAGAGCTGGCTAAGTATAACATCGACATAGCCATTATTGAGTCCCGGCTCCCAGACAGGGGTCGACTCACAGAACGGGGATCTGGCTACTGGGGAGAGAAACCGCATTTATGGAGTTGGCTTTGCCATCCGCCAATCCATCCCACAAAGGCTAACTGAAATGCCTATTGGGATCAACGAGCGCATCACTACGCTTCGAGTCCCACTGAATCACTCACGTCAGGCCTTCTTCATCAGTGCATACGTCCCTACACTGGATGCAGAGGATGACATCAAAAAGACTTTTTACGCCGTCCTCGACAGAGTGCAAACCTCTATCCCCAGAGAAGATAAGATTGTTTTTCAAGGTAAATTCAATGCCAGAATTAGCAGAGAAGCTGACTTATGGCAGGGAAACATAGGGAGAAATGGACTAGGCAGGTGTAATCCCAACGGCCTACTCCTCAACAAGTGCGCTGCACACAACCTCACTGTCACCTACCCCTTGTTTAGGCAGGCCGACAAGTTCAAGGGTTCTAGGCAAAGCCCACGATCCTAACATTGGCATCTCATTGACTCCATCATTGTCAGAGAAAGAGATCGCCGAGATGTCAGGAGCATCGAGGCTACCATTATCCATTAACAACTACGTTGGGTTGGCCATGTTACCCGCATGGACGACAGTAGACTGCGGATA